AGCTCAATCAAATGCAGTGTGTGGACATCAAGTGGATCCTAATTCAAACAAATAAATATAACAAATTTCTGAGATAAGCTGGAAAAAATGCATGCTCAATATTTGGTATAATAAGGAATTAATTTTTTAGGTTTGATAATGGTTCTGTAGTTATGTTTGGAAACAATCCAAACAATCCAAACAAACCAAATGCCCAGTTAAACTTTTCTCTGATTTAAGGATGCTGATTCATTTAGTATCAGAGACAGATACTAAAACTTTAGATGGATGATGTCAGGGGATTGCCTCAGAATAAGGTGGTTAGAGAAGGAGTGAGGGAATCCAGATAAAGCAAAATGGATTACATGTTGAAAATTGTTGAACTGTGATGACTAAATGAAAGTTCATCTCATTTATCTTTCTACTTTTGTATATACTTGATAATTTTTATAATAGAAAATTCTTCAAGAAACATTTTAAAAGCCATGAACAACATCCAACGAAAATCTCAACAATAAGCATGACCAAGTACTACTATAATATTTATCCTTAATAAGGAGAAGAATACACGATTTTAAAGATTTTTTTTAAATGGCCATAGGAGAGGAATACTCAGGTAGATTAACATTATTGGTAAAACTTACATGTATGTCATGTACTCTTGGTATGTGCTAAATGTTACCTAATTTTTAAAAACTAAGGATATAGAAAAAAGGCAGGATTTTTTTTCTAGAAAGTAGAATTTAAGAATTTAACACTCTATTATTCAATTTATGAAAAATTTGATAATTTTAGTTAAAAACCTCCTATTTGATTAGTTTAACCATATTAAAACATAACACACAGAGAGATAAGAAACCAAGTGGGAAAAACAGTTGAAATGAATTATGAGTATACCTAGACCAAACCTGCCAGTGCCCAGTGTTGTTACTCACTTTCTCTTTGTATTCTCTTATTCTCACTCCACATTAGGGTTATCTGAAGGTTAACTACAGTAAGGCAGCTGACCCTGAAGATGCTTTATTGCCCTTTCTGTCCTGCAGCTGCAGCCAATGAGCTCAAAGATGTGACTCTATGTCATCTGTGGAATTTCAGGGTGCTTCTCACACAATTGCCTAGCTTCATCCATATAATTGTAGACAAATAGCTATGTTTCATCTATCAAAATAATCTTTTGTATATTTCAATCCATAAAAATTTAATATGGTATTCACCTATTTTTTTATGAAACTGACAGACTTACATCAAGGCTTAACAGTCGTGCAGATGCTAGAGTTGTCCTACAATGTGTATGTACCATACTCTCAATTGAATATCAGGCACTTGATGGACTGCAAGTACACAGAGATAGTGGCTCTCCCATCTAGTGGGCACTTGGAAAATGTGTCAAGTCTCTTGTTTCATAGGCCATGAATCCATGTTAGGCCGTTATACCCAACGAACATAAGCAAGAAGACTGTGGGCAAGTGTTTTTGCCGCTTGACAGCACCTTTGGTGGCTAAACCGAAGTGTGTTTATCTGTGATATTTTCAGATATGCACTTTGTTGTCAATAGACAGAGTGACATTCTCAAGTAAAGGAAATTACAATAGGTTCTTGCATGGATTTAGCTTCCCATAGTAACATCTAAGGGTTGTTGGAGCCTGCAGAGGGAGCCCTTGTACCAGGAGATAATGGACAGAACTGAGCAAATTCTGGAGTTTCCATTTGTAACTACATCCATCAAGTCCATAGGACTACAGCCGAAGTTCCACTGCTATTTGTTTTCACTTCCTTAAGAAAAGTATAACTGTTTAGATGGCCTTGCACTTCCTCTGGGCTCACAAAATGACTCAAGATGGGAGATATTCCTCTCATTTTCACTTGAAATGGGCAAGTTTAAGATTATCTGCAGTACTTCTTTATGTGAATGAATCAGTGAAGGTCTTACCTAGACCATAACTTTGAAGAACGGTTAACTTTAAGTCCTTTAAAAACATACAAATTTGGGGGGCCTGGGGATGTGGCTCAAGCGGTAGCGCGCTTGCCTGGCGTGCGTGTGGCCCGGGTTCAATTCTCAGCACCACATACAAAAAAAGATGTTGTGTCCGCCAATAACTAAAAAATAAATATTAAAATTCTCTCTTTCTCTCTCTCCCTCTCTCACTCTCTCTTTAAAAAAACATACAAATTTTTATGATGTTATAATAAGATATATCAAAACCTTCACCTTTAAAAAAAAAAAAGAAAAAGGAATCAGACACACTATCACATGTACCTTCTCATTAGCAAATCCCTGCTTTGGTTAATATTGAAAGTATAATTATAAATAATAATGAACAGGTATTAAGTTTATTACACAGCAAGTATTCATCATTTATTATCTCAGCTGATCCTATTAATATCAAATTATTCCATTTTATAGGTAAGGAAACTGAGGCTACATAGGATACATAAACTGTCCAAACTCATGCCACCTGACACAAGTCAAGTCTAGGTGCGATACCAAGCCCATTTACCATTTTAATGTTGGCTAGAACTAGATGGAAGAGGCTAACTTCTCCATAGATTTTCTTCCAGGTGCCATTTAATTCGAAGACCACACCAATGTGATTGTGAAAGTCCTTTTCCTACATTAAGTCAATTGTATGCTCAAGAAGTAGACATCCTGGGTTATAAAAATTCATCTGGGATTATATGAGGCCCATAACACCTGAACAAGTACCAGCTGCTTCAGGCTTCCCTTTCCATATTCCCTCCACTGCCATTCCTTAATTCTGTGGTTTACCCCCAGGTTTTCATTGGTCTAATTCCCGGCATCCTACCTATACAAATTCTTAATCTCTCTTTTCATCCATCCTACAATGTGCTTGATTTGGCAGAAAAAAGCATAGGTGAATACTTCTAACTATAATGCTTTCATATATTAGACTTCATTTAAAAAGTCTTATTTACATTATCCTATTACTTTCTCAGAATAATGTGAAGTAGACATTATTGTCCCCAATCACAGATGAGGATACTGAGTCTCAGGGAAATTCAATGACTTGCTGAGGTCACACAGCGAATAAGTGGTAGAGATTTCAGGGCAGAGCAATGATAAGAAAATAACCCATTATTATACCCTACATATTTTATAAAAATTTAAATATAATATTTGAGGAAATAATTAGCCCATTAAACTATTTCCCCCTACCCTAAAACACACATATATTAACAAAGCTTTTAGTCATTATCTCTTCCTTTGTTTGTGCCAGTTAAATCCAAGACACTCTTTGAGAGGACTGTGAAAGCAAATTACAGTTGTTCACAAAGAGATTTCATGCTTTTTCACTTTGGGGACAATAAAAACCAAATGAAACTCACTGTGAAAAAAATCACTCTTAAGAATTTTTCAAAGAATGGTACTCTGAAGATTCCACTAACTGGTGAAGCCAAGGAGTGACTGAGTTTTAAAATAAGGTAGGAGACATCAAAGTGATAATTAACATCTGCTTGATGTTCTTTCTGGCTTTTAAATAAAATTAAGATATAACTACTAAGTCCTCAACTTACACAAACATAAATACCACTCTGGTATGAATTATGTAATTCAGCATATGTCACAGTTTAGTAACTCTTGAATACCTCCATGTGGCTGCCAGAATTGGCAATGGAAAATTTAGAGGTTTTCTTCTAAGTTTATAGACATAACCCAGGTCCTGGCCATAAGCATTGACTAATGACTGCCTGCTGTCATATCACCTGGTCATTTCTCACTGACAGGCCTTGATATAAAGAGGGAAAAGTGACAATTACCAGCATGATTATTATGGGAATGAAGAAATAATTAAGAAGATGCTAGAAAACACAGTATTCAAATTGCTATCAGGTTTCCTTTGGTATCTTCCCAACTTTAAAGTATTTAAAATAATTTCAAGTCTTCAAATCAATTTCTCTCCTAGAACTTTATAGTATTTACCCGAAATAGTCCGTATCTACTAGTCCCTGATAATTTTAAAACTTGCTAAAGGGTTTTTGTGTTTTTGTTTTTTATTGTTTCTTCATTTTCTCAAAATCAACTCATGATTGCCCTGTGCCAAGAATCTCATTGGAGAAAGTCTTTCTCGTTTAGTTAAGTTAGAAACACTGGTAGTGCTCCCGGTGAAAAGAGAAGAGAATGCTCTCTGGTACTCATTCTCAACATAATTTTCCACTGGGGGCAAGTTTCTGCAGACTGCATTATTAAAAACAAAAATGTGTTTAACAGCATGTGGGCAGTGAATGTTCAGGGAATTTAATGTGCAACTTCAGGACCACAGGGAAAGGATGCAGGTACTCTTGAGAAAAAAAAAATGGAGTGTAGGGAAATAACAAGAAGAGACTAAATGAACACTGAAAGTCATAAGGTAACCTGGAGTGAGCTCAGACTCCAGGCATTGTGCATAGAGCTGAATCAGGGAGAAACCTTGAAAAGTCACCTAGTCAAGTTTCCCTGGTCTTGAATTTGACCTCTTCTGAAACCTATGGGTCAAATTGCCTGACATTCCAACTTTATATGGCTCTGGTTTTAATTAGCCCTCTTTTGAAATAATGGGTCTGGCCTGTAGCAATTTTGCAGGCATATTAGAGGGAGGTGGGTTTCAAGTCCACTTGGAGTTACAGACCCTTAACTTCGTTATCATTAAGCCAGCCTTCTTTGTCAGGCCTGTTCAAAATGGAGTTCCTTGTCCAGTCCATGTCTGCCAGTGGAATCCACAAATTCCTAATGCATCTGTGTGAATCGGTCCTCTGTTCCATCACTGCCTGTTGGTGGTGTGCACATATGTGAGCCATTGCAGAGAACAGAGGGGCGATTCAGACACTGGGAACATTTTTAGAATAATGACACTCAGTGGAATTTTCACATGGACTTGCATTTTAATTTATGACTATGGGCCACTTTTGTTAAATAAAGCGTGTATTTACAATATTCAAACATTTAAAGTTTTTGAAAAATGTGTAACTCTTTTGGGTTTGAGTGTATGCTTATAAGGCTTATGTAATTCAGGTTTTGACCATGGAAAAGCTAGGATAGAAAGGAAAACAATCCAGCTGTACAGAGTTGAGATGGTTAGAAGATGGACTGCATTAGAGACTGAGCATCTGTGGATCAGGGTAAGTCATTCCCTCTGCTTTGACTTATTCACCCATTCAGTCTCTCATTCATTCATCATATTCATGGTCTACCTCTCATACGCAAAAACCTAGTATCCAAAATGTTAAAAAAAGGCAAGTTGCTCAACCTTTCTGATTTCCTTATCTATAAAATAGGGGAGTTGTTACAGATACCATGATGTTTTGGAAACATTTAGGTAATATGTGATAATTATAATAATAATTCGAAAAACAACAATCCAGTGAGTCTTTTCTGTCCACAGATGTTATCCTAAGCATTTGATGGTTAAAAATTCCTTGGAAGGCCCCTACATCCGGACTAGATTTAAAGACTGGCCTAAGATAAACCATTCCAGAGCTTTAGGGGAAGGCGTGATTTCCCTATGATGAGTTAGGACACTGACAGGGCTGAAAGAACAGAGAGAACAACAGGGAGGTTTCTGTCCTTCAGGAGCCCAGGGAGACAGCCTGATAGTCCACTTTTATAAGGGCCACAAACAAACTCTTAGGCTCAGACACAGAAAATCGGTCCTTGGGCTACAAGTATCTCTCGGACCTTTGGGGTAACAATTCAAGAGCCAAGAATTATCTATAGCTTCTGAAAAGGACATGAGATGTCATGATTGTTCTTAAATCATCAGGAGTCCTCCTAACATCTCCAGGAGTCCAGTGAAGAAATGCGAAATGTATGGGTGCCATCTCCGAACTAGCCTTCCCCACCAGGAGTGTGCATGCAAACATAGGACACTGGACGAACACTTCCCACTTAACAGGAAACCAACTGTCAGTTCCTCTTCCCAGCGTATGTTGCAAGTAGATTTTAAAATTATATCTACCCTATCCTTGAAAGTTCTTACTAGAAATTTTGAAAGATCTCAGAAGGTCTTGTCAAAATTTGAATTAAATTCAAGGTAGAAGGACTGTCACCACCAATGCTGTAAAAAAGTTTTCCACTTGGGAAAAGCTGTAGAGTACCACAAGAGTGCTAGATGTCAGGGTTTGCATTTTATATGTTTTAAAACATAAAAACTTTGATTCTAATGCCTGTATCATATGCTAAACACATGTGACCTTAACTAAATATCACAAAAACCCACCATAAATTAATCGTCAACCTTAATAGCTTCCTTATTTCAAAACACATTTGTTTTGCAAGCTAATGCCTTAAGGCCAAAATTTTAAGGTAACTACACAGAGTTTAAATGAAAAACATACCAGGATATACATACCTATATAATCTCTCTTTCCCTTTCGCTCTCCCTTTCCAACACACTTAGTTTCTCTGTCATTTTGACTCAAAATGGAAGGAGAGAAACTTGGCACACATTTGAATTCTCAGTTTTTCATCGTCATTGACTATATTTGCTATTTTGAGTCTCACCTCCACTTTATCAGAGGAACATACCTAACTGGAATTAGATTTTTCAAGATTTCTTCCATTCTTTACCGTGTGTGTGTGTGTGTGTGTGTGTGTGTGTGTGTGTGTGTGTGTTTCCAAATGTTTTCTTCAGAAGAAAGGCCACAAGGCCTCTGTTAAAAAAGAAGAAGAAGAAGAAGAAGAAGAAGAAGAAGAAGAAGAAGAAGAAGAAGAAGAAGAAGAAGAAGAAGAAGAGATGATGATTTTGGAAGTTACTTAAGCTGATACATGCTTTTAGAATTTCCTTCAAGTTTATGATCCAAGTTCCTAAGTTTCAAGACCAATTCACTCCCCTAACACCTCCTGGGGCTGGATGTGTCTAGATTATCATACTTTCCACAGGAAGAGACAAGAGGTAATGGAGAGAAGGGAAAGTACCTCTTAGGGAGGCAGTGAACAGAGAGGCAAGTCCTGGCTAATGCTCCCTCTGTCCCTTCTACCCACAGTTGGAAGCCAGTGGAGGTTAATGCTTCTGCTCAGCCTCCCTTGTGGGCTAACAAAGGCAAGAGAGTCTCACTCATGACCCACTTTCCGGCAATACATTGAGTCTTTCAAAAAAAAAAAAAATAGAAAGGCAGGATGACATCTAGCAAGGAACACCTTTTTTTTCTTGGTGTTTTAAAATAAACATATACATGAAAAGCAAATATGGGAAGCTTTTAGAGGGAACTGCATATGAAATCATTCAGCAAATGTTTTGGTCTGTATCTTAAATAATCAGAGTGGAATATTTGTAAGAATCCAAATTTTAAATGTTCTTCAACTGTGCTTAAATACTTTCCTTTATTACTAATACTAAATGTAAAGTACTAACATAATAGTACAATTTAATATAACATGATATATCCTTACATAAAACATTCAAAATCTACTCCATGAAAATGTAAATGATCACCGGTTTCAATTGGAATACAAACACAGTCCAGTATGTGTTTAATATTTTATTTTGTGTCTTATTTTAAATAAGAATAAGCTTCTACTTCACTACAGAAGTATTCAGTATAAAAAAGTTTTTATCAATGTTTCACTCTCAGCAGAAAATAACAAAGTCATTTTACCTATTTGTGATTTTACGTATTGCATTTCTCTATTAAAGATTTGAAAATATTTTTTAGTTGTAAATGGACACAATATCTTTGTTTTATTAATTTATATGTGGTGCTAAGGATCAAACCCAGTGCCTCACATGTGCTAGGCAAGTGCTCTACCACTGAGCTACAACCTCAGCCTTCTATTAAAGGCGATTTTTTTAACATTTTGATTGATATTATACCTTAAAGAAAAAAATAGTATCTTAATACCTAAACTCAGTATAATCTACTGAAAATGTCAAGGCTTGCTCAAGGATCTGAGTTAGTCCTAAGTCAGGCCAAGCTGGAACATTGCACAAACCGTGTCCCGTTTGTCCTCTGTCTGTGGTTCATATTGTACTTTCACATACATCCTCTCATTGGACTCTCATAATTAACTCAAGAAACAGAAATGGAGCAAGAGTTATGATCTCCTTTAGAGATGATGTTTAGTGCCATGGGTCTCCAATTTTTTATTCCACCTGGGACAGGGGAATAGCTCCATTGTCACCAGCTCCATTTAGAGGAGCAGTATCTCTAAGTGCTGTAGCAGAGAGGCAAAAAAAATAAAAAAGACAAAAAGACCATCATGGAGCATATATAATATCTTCTCTCTCAAGAGACTTATAAGCATGAAAAAAACTAAGTGAGTAATTATATTAGGGGAAAATTTCCCTTTTTGGAATGATACTGATCATTCATTCATTTTCCATTCATTCAACAGATCATAGGGCTCCTAATGGGTGGCATGCTTAGTTCCGCCAGGAAGTGAGGAGGGGGCAATACAAAGAGCCAGCCTTCAGGAAAAGTAACATTCTCATGAAATATGCGAAGCAATAAATGAGCACAATCATCTCAGAAGGTGATCCATTCTACACAGGAAATACACGGAAGGGAGGAAAGTGGTTTTTTTTTTTTTGTATGCGTGATCAGAGAGGTGAGATTTGAGCTAAGACCTGAAGAAATGGCCATCCCAATAGAGCCAAGGGCTGGAAGCTTGGAAGAGCTGCAACAGGGTAGGCCAGCTGCATTGGCCAGACACAGGCAAAAGAGAGAAGTGGACAGAAGCTATGTCGGGGCCTGAAGAGCCTCTAAGGCCAGGGAAAATGGTTGAAGTTTGTTCTAAGCACAAAGAAAGCCACCAAGTCATATCCCACAAGAAAGGGAATGTGATCTGATTTGTGGTTTTAAAAGATTATTCTGCCTGCTAAGTTAGAAGGGCAGAGGTGAAAGAGGAAAGAACAGTGAAGAGGCCATGTTAGTAGCCCAGGCAAAAGATGGTGGTAGTCTGCCTGGTGGAAGAAGGAGCAAAAGCCAAGATACATTCTGAAGCTAGACCTGACAGCATTTGCCAAAGGACCAGATATGGAGGAAGAAGAGGGAAGGGAAGGGACCAAGGATAATTTACAGGTCTTCTAGCTTGAGCATGGGGCAGATGTAAATGCCTTGGATAGGATTATGGGGGGATTAAAAGCCAAGGTTCTATTCTGGTTGTTAAGTTAGAAATGTCTATAACCAATCTAAGAGAAGACATCTGGTAAGAAACTAGATTCGTGAGGCCTAATCGTAAGGGAGTGAATTTAGAAATGAAAACCATCAGTACATGAGTAATGGTTAAAGACACAGGGCAGAGTGAAAGTTCCTAGGAAAGAGATGGCTAGAACAGTGAGGGGGACTCTGAATTAGACCCTGATCTAGGAACAGAAATAGGAAACAGCAAGGGAATGTGAGAATTGCTACCAGAGAAGCAGGAGAAAAAACATACAATCTACATGTTCATAATGGTGCAAGTGCCCCAGGAAGTCCATAAGTAAAGATAAATAACTTCATCAATTGCTTCAGACTACTCTGTTCTTCTGTTATGCTAAAATCACCGTCACCAAAGTCACGTACTTATAAGTGCATTTTTTAGAAACTAGTATACTGCCTGCTATAAAAATCTCACCTTTGCTCCAGTGTCTCCTACTCCACGTAAACCCATTGGTCCGGGGGGTCCTGGTAATCCTCTAGGTCCCTGAGATAACATCAAAACAGGGGCAATGAGCTTCTTTGTAAAATGCAATGCTCAGAAAAAAAACAGAGGAAAGAAGGGTAGGAGAGTAACATTTTCAACATTACACAGTTTAACACTCTTTATTACATATTTTATAACAAACTAGAAGAGAATAGTTTGAATGTTTCCAACATGAAGAAATGATAAATAGTTAAGGAGACTGAAATACAAATCATCCTGATTTGATCATTGTACATTATGTACATTATCAAATTATCATATTGTATTCCACAAATATGTACAATTATGTGTAAGTTTAAAATTTTTAAAAAATACATACATAAAGAAAAAAAGGAAATATCCACACTTACAGACACACCAGGATAGCCGTCGCCTTTGAGTCCTGGAGCACCCTTGGGTCCCTGAGGGCCTTGGGCACCCTAGGTAAATTCCAATACCAGGTGATATCATGAGGCTAAAGCATGAAACACCTGGCAAAACTTAAGCAACACCAACTCAATATACCAAAGAAATATTTGATGAGTGCAAAGGAATAATTTGAAAAATGTTAGGAGATAATCCTACCACATACGGCAATTTGTTACCTCTTCAGAAGCCTTATCCACCTGAGCTCAGGGGGAAGAAGTACAGTTTGAATGTAGGGAATATATAGAAACCACTATAAAGTCCTCGACTGGAAACACAATTATCAGGAATTAGAAAATGGCTTGTGGGTAATATTTCAATTTTCAAAATAACAAATAGTATATCAAAAATCTGGGAAGAACATAAAAAATTCAGTAATCACAATGTGAAATAAGCAAAGTAAATTCATAGCAAAAATTTCAGAGTGGAATAGATAATTCTACACTCCTTGCTGTTGTGTTAGACCTACTGTCTTCATCAATGGTACCCAAATTACATGGGGGCATGAATAAACCCAAATGAAAAAAAAAGGAGATTTTTTTTTTAAGTTATGAAATAATGGGACATTGATGGTTTGTGGTTCACTATCTTGGGAACTAAGGAAAAGTTATAAATATTGCTTAATAGTGACAATCTCAGGCATCAAAACTTTGAGCAGCAGTCATTCACTTTCCATTCAGAGCTTAGGGAGAGGTAATTTTTGTGTAATTGTAACTACACAAAATTTAATATGTAATTCTCTTACAAATAGAAATCCAAAAGATTTTTGACTAAAGTAAAATGGGGGAACAGGAAGGAAAAAAATGAATCTTTTAGAAGATTTGTTAAATATAAAGTCTAATAAACCATGCCATTCAGTTACTGTGGCATCTTCTACAACCTTGTCAATCAAAGTAAACCACCCTTCCTGGTGCTCATGTTTTAAAATGTGTTTTTTTTCTTTTTACATTAGGAGAAAACTCTAAAAACAGGCAGACTTTTATTTTCCTCAAACAGTAAAAATAAACAATACCCAAGAATTTTCTTTACATACAAGCAAACTCTGAGATCAAATTGGTACTACTCCAACCCCAAATGTTGTCCAAAAGTTCTCTCTCTAAAACTTCCTAATTCTATGACTGAATGATTGATTAGGGGAAGGAAAAATAGCACATACCTTTAAAGCAATGATAAATTTATTTTGAAACCATGCAACAGCTGTTTTCTCCTAGTAAATCTAAGAGACTAGTTTTATGTGATTAGACTTCTTAAAAATGATCATCTTTAAGAAATGTGTAGCCCCATATAAAAACTTAATGCACTATTTCATCAACAAAAACTTATGATTTTTTAAAAGATGTACAATAAAGAAAAAGCACATAGTCTTTAGAGGAGGGGAATTTTAGTACGTCCCCTGCTACAGGAAATTGGTCACTGAGTTTGAAAACTCAGAAGCAATTTTTTTTATGCTATTCCAATTACATTTAAGGTTTAAGCTCTGAACATTCGTGTACAAGACTTATCCCCAAATAATATTCCCATTTCTTCCCATCCTTATACCAGGAAAAGGCCTGCAACAAAATAAAGCAATAACTGCCTCCCTGGTTAAGCTGAAAAAAAAAAATTGGAATCAAAATTCACTTTTCAAATCTCTCATCTAAGTTCCAAGCAATAATCAATCATCAGCTGTTATTGATAAACCTCTGCACCCACAGTATGGGGCAAAAAAAAAAAAAACATAGAAACACAGTTTACAAACATTTTCTTTTCCTAGATATCTTTGCCCTCTCTCCTGCAAAAAATTTTACTTAGCTGGTTGCTTCTAATGTTAATAGGAAATATCAAGAGAATAGGGGTAGACTTTTATTTTGAACTCTTCACAGTGTTTTTATATATGGAATTTTGCCACTTGGCCTTTCTGCACTGGATTCAAGGGAATGTCCTAAAAATGATTTACTTTGAAGTCTTTCATTCAACAGAAATTTGGATGAAAATTGAAATCTGGTGTTTTGAAATGGGTCTGAGAGTTCCTTGAAATAGTACACAAAAGTGAATTAATAGGCCAAAACCTCCATTAGCCATTCAAAGAAGCATGTGACCTTCCAAAACCGTAAAAGCTAATGAATTAGGAAATAATGGCAGAAAGAATAGCATTAGAGCCCAAAGGATTAGGAAGATGTTTGGTTGAAAGCAAATATCTTTAAATACAATTACCTACAATGCCCAATGTTCATCAGCAGGAAAGAAGTGAGGTTTGAAAACTCTAGCAGCACATTTAATTAGACTTTATTCTTATTTCAAAGGAAGTCTGGAGAGATAAGTATAAATCATGGATTTGTGTATACACAGTTATCAAACAGGATGAAAACTGTCACACCGATGTAATTAAAGAAAGTCATGTCTGCAGTTTCTCACCAGAAAAAAGGAATTTTTATCTAGGGGCAGTGGTGCACAACTGTTATCCTAGTGGCTTGGGAAGCTGAGGCAGGAGAATCATGAGTTCAAAGCCAACCTCAGCAACTGAGCAAGGCGCTAAGCAACTCTGTCTCTAAATAAACACAAAGTAGGGCTGGGGATGTGGCTCAGTGGCCGAGTGCCCCTGAGTTCAATCACCAGTACCCCCCCTCAAAAAAAGGAATTTTATTTTCTTGAGCTATCTACATAGCTTAGGTTCCATATAACACGAAGTCTGGGGTAGGGTGAAGAACTCATCCCAGTTTGCATAAGATTTTCCCAGCTTCAGTCCTGAAAGCCTAGCATCCTAAGAACCCTCAATCTTGGACAAACTAGGGCACTCAGCACTCCAGCAGGAAGAAGTGCTAAAACAATAAGAAGAGTGGAGGATCTTCAACACTCCAATTTATGTCTGTTTTTAATAGGTTGTGAATTATGTTTCATTTAAAAGACAACTCCAACTTTTCTTTTTTTTCAGTTTAAGTACTTTAACCTTTTTAGCTAAATGAGACATATGATACGAGAATATAGAAATGTGCCTCAAAGCTCCATGGCAATACGCTATTCATTTAATAAGTATTAATTATGGGGCCTGGAAGTCTGTTCCCATAAACAGAGATGGTTGATACCTAGGAATGTTATAAATGCTAAATTTTGCTGCAATGTTGGGTATAGTGTGAAAAGGGAAATGGTGATTTGTGACCATGGAAAACCAGTTGGTTAAGCTTTTGTGTAATTATTTATGTTTTCACCTGAAATAACTCAAAAGGATGAAAAATCAAAGCAAGCAAAACTTTGATCCAATAAAGCTTCCAAATGTGAGCTCTTTTGGACAGTGTCTTGCAAACAGCTACACTCTCATTGGTAAATAAATGAAAGAGCCAGAGGCCATTAAAACCCTTATATCATAGACATTGCAAAAACAGCATTTTCAAATAATTGTCTAATCAGCAAAAATATAACCATAGGAACTACTGTTTTCCACATGAGTAAAAAAATAAAATGATTTTTAAAGAATATAGTTCTAAAATTTATCTCATCAACACAGAGGATTTACAAGTAGAAAAATCCACTTAATAAGTACTAGGCTTTGGATCTTGACTGTCCCCCAATGGTTCATGTGTTAAAGGCTTGGACCCCAGTCTGTGGCACTAAAATTGGGTGTGGGTAGACACTTTAAGAGGTGGGGAAGCTAGATCATTGTAGTTGTGCCTTTGAAGGGGACAATGGGACCTTGCATGGCCTCTTCCTGTTCTTTCTTGGCTTCCTGGTTGCCTGGAGTTGAAAAGGCCCCCACCATGTGTTCTTGCCATCATACACTATGACACCACAGGCCCAAAGCAAGAAGGCCCAGCAAACATGGACTGCAACCATGAGCCAAAATAAACTTTTCCTCCTTCGGAGTTGATTATTTCGAGTATTTTGTCATAGCCATGAAAAGCTAACACTTCAGCCATTAAGTCGACTTCTCACATGCAAAGAAAGGAAAAGAACATGAATAAAGCGTACCTTTGGTCCTCGAATAAAAAGTCCAGGTTCTCCTTTAAATCCAGGCATCCCAGGACCTCCTCTATCTCCCTGTACATTTCAAATAACATTCACAGGCTCCAGGTTGTGTGAGAAACCACAAGGCACACAGCATAAAAGAGACTGGCCAATCTGAAAGAGCTTAATCTACCATCTCAGGTCTTAAAATATTATATTTTTTTAACAAATTTGAGGGGAAGTTCAAATCCTAATAAAACTTGCCAATAAAGACTACTACAGCTGTTTGGAGAAAACCCACTGAAATAATAAGTGGCAATTTAGACTCAAATATTTAAGCTGTAAGAATGCCTGGGGATGTTCTTAAAACTCAGAGTATTTCTTTTCTGCCAAGCTTTTCAATTATAGATCCTAGTAAATTTTTTTCTGAATAAATGCAATAAAATTCTTGCCTGCCCTGGGGTCTAGGATTTGGAAGAAGTAGTACAGGATGAAGTTAACACTGGAAACTCTGTTAACTGCAGTGGCTAACTCTACTGCTGGCTTTTGGTCTGCTTATCTGTGAAATATCAGGGTTAAATGAGAACATTTCTTAGGGATCTCCCAAAATAGAAATTCTAGTTCACTAAATCATGATCCACTGGGACCATAAAATATAAATTTTTTTTCCCCTCTAACTGCCACAGATCCAAGTAAAAGGAAAAAATTTCTAAGAATATATACCTTTGGCCCAGGTGGTCCAGGAATTGATGGTCCAGGCATTCCAAAAGGGCCCATAATGCCCTGTTCACCCTTGAAAAGAGGAAAAAAAATTACAATGTCTAATTTTAGAATATTAATCTTTCATAAATTAATGTGAAAATAATTTGAGCACCTTTTGTAAATCATTGCTAAAGTAATCAATCCATAAGATTTCAATGTTCTTTATTAAATGTATTCAGTTAATTCCTAAGTGTTAGAAGAAATTTAATCTCTTGAGCAACTTTTCACTAGCTAATACAATCCACCGTCCTTCCCTTTTGTATTGTATGCCAGGAAGCTCAGAAAGAAATGTTTTGTTAAATTATAGCAATGTCTTCCACATAAGTTTTAGAGTACATTTCAAATTTCAATTTTTTCCTTTTTTTGTTTCATTTTAATGGCCTATAGTATATCTTTTTTTTTGTGGCAGGGGGTATGAAGGATTGAACTCAGTTGCAATCAACCATTGAGCCACATCCCCAGCCCTATTTTGTATGTTATTTGAAGACAGGGTCTCACTGAGTTGCTTAGCACCTTGCTTTTTGCTGATGCTGGCTTTGAACTTGCAATCCTCCTGCCTCAGCCTCTGGAGCTGCTGGGATTACAGGTGTGTGCCATGGCACCGGGCTCAATCTTCCACTGTATGTTATATTACATCCTTTTTTAGAAGTTGAGGGTTCATAGATTTTTTAAAAAATTAACTTTGGATAGGGTTGGGGAAGTGGCTCAAGCAGTAATGCGCTCGCCTAGCATGCGCGGGGTGCTGGGTTCGATCCTCAGCACCACATAAAAATAAAGATGTTGTATCCACCAAAAACTGAAAAATAAATATAAAAAAATGAACTTTGGATAGAAAACTTAAAGCACCTTTTTTTCTTTTCCTCCCCTTTCTGCTCTCTTCCTCCCTAACTACCTTTTTGGATTTAATAGTAAGTCATAGAGACTCAATTTGGAGCAAGAGGCAATTCCTCTGTCTCACCTGAAATGTAAACCAGCAATTCTCAAATTTTAGTAAGCATAAGAATTATCAAAAGAGTTAGGTAGATATGCAGCCCTAGGTTTCAAGTCCCAGAGCTTCAGATTTGATCTAGGGGTGTAGCCCAGGAATAGGCATGTTCATGAAGTACTTCTGATGACTCTGACATGGACCCCATTACCGTACTTTAGAAAACCATATTTCAAAGCAACTTTCACTGCACACACCACAAATCCCATTGTTTATGAAAACTGATAACATATAAGATAGTTTGGGAATAAAATTGATTTAAAATAAACAAGACAGGCATTGTGATGCACACATGTAATCCCAGTAATTCTGTAGGCTACGACAGGAGGATTACAAATTTGAGACTGGTCTGGGCAATTTACTGAGACCCTAATTCAAAATAAGAATTAAAAAGGGACTAGGGATGTAGCTCAGTGTTAAAGTGCCCCTGGGTTCAATTTCAAGTATGTATAAATAAATAAATCTATACTGGAATGTGGTCAGAATTTTACTGCCAGAGTTTTTACAATCAGAACAATTTGGAAACTATTGCTCTGGAGTAGAAGTGGCCAAAGCCACGCTGCCCCCAGATTTTGAAGAGCACTGGGCTAACAATAGGTTTTCATGGATGCAATGTCTTCAATTTTGCTTCTTAGCCCACAAATTTAAATATTTACTATCTGCCCTTTACAAAAACAAAAACAAAACCGTGGAGAACTGCACTAGCGGTTGATCTATTTCGATGCTATGCTTCTATCTGACCCTCTAGGACTTCAGATTGATGACTAATCCTTCCTCTGCCTGATTCATTTCCTCTGAGCTGTCTCTTGGGTTTCCCACTTCCTCCAGGAGGGACCCCATGGATCTGATTCACCAGTGAAGAGCCAGTGTCCATCTTCCCACCTAAGGCCTCTACTGGTAAAATTATCCATTACAACCCACAAGGTAAGAACGCCAATCTGCTGGGGCCCAGTCCTTGTGAGGGTATGTACAAGCCAGTCCTTAAACCTGAACTCTGTAGGGTTTGGCACAATGCATAACCAGTACTGGCACATACATGACAGTCAGGATCTGGCCACAGATAAACCCCCTATCCAATCCTGTGACAAAGAAACAAGATGTCTGTTGAAATTCCTCACTAAAATTAGAGGCAAAGAAAAATTATGCTTCTAAATTTAATTTGTTCTTATTTTTAAAGGCTCATTTTAAACTATAAAAAGTATCACAGAAAGTATACAGTTTTTAGGCATACAAAGCCCCTGGATGAAGGTACGATTATGCTTTAAAATATGGCAATTCTGCAACTCCACCTTAAGGGGAAAAAAATCCTTATTTCAAAAATATAAAAATACTCACTTTGAGTAAGAGCAACAAAAACATTAAAAGTAAGCCCTGTTATTCACACTAATACGACACATTTATTATATAGTGGACATTTCTCAAATTGTGCTTCTTGAACTACCAATGTCTGAGGACTTTCTTGGAGAAATGCAGATTACGGGGACCCACCCACTTATTGAATCCTTGTCTCTAGGAATAGGACCAAGAAATATGGATTTGTAACAAGCTCACCAGGTGACACTGATGGACGCTAGCATTTCAGAATCACTCGTATACAGGCGAGGCTTTGGTTTTTTACCTGCTCTTGCTAATACCATTCTTTAAAATTTGCTCTTCAATCATCTCATCCTTGAATATACTCCTTATCTCTTTTCTTACAATCAGCATCTTCCGAGAGGCATAAATTCTCTTGGATTTGCGGTTTACTTCTTGACATATTCAACACAATCACCATGTTCTCACCTGACTCAGGACATGTACCTCCTTGCCTTACAGTCTCCTTCAATTCCTCCTCAGCTCCCTGTTCTGGACAATTTATGAGGATCACAGGCCCCTATTTTCTATTTCACAGTATGGATTTTTTCTCTCTGAATAACTCCATGTGATGAATACTTACTAGGTGCCAGGTGCCATGCTGAATGCTTTATTAACTCCCTATATTCATAATAACTCTGTGAAATTCATCATATTTTGTTCTTTCCATATGGGAAGCAACTGGCTCTGAGAAGCTGGAGCCGAGTCCAATGGAAGGGGCCTCCTGAAGCCTGCTCCTCCTCAGGCCGTGCTGCCTCTCAGTCCCCCAACTTCTGGTTCAGCCAAATGAGACCATGAAGAATTGGTATTTTCTACGGCCCCAGCTTTATCTCAACTTCTGACTGTTTGGTAATTGAGCAGGTTGACATACAGATTCCCTCTTAGAAGCATAAATATTCCAGTGAAGACTACATACTCCATGGATCTCTTTACTGAATTCTATTTGGGTCTGGGAGTAGAATGTTTTCTAAAGGCTTTTTTTTTTCATTATTATTATTTGGGAGATTTTGTTTTGTATTTGTTGGGAAGGAAACAAGTAATCAAATTTGCAGTGGAATTCTAATCTATTGAAACCAGACACAATTACAATCTCCTGAAAGCATAAATGAGAATATAAGAAACATACCTTTGGCCCCGCGGGTCCTGGAAATCCCATATGTCCTTGATTTCCTTTGCTTCCTTTCTTTCCTTCATCACCCTGACAAAATAATTATGAAAATATAGATGTTGTAGTAACAAACCCTCTCCTAACCTAACAGTGACCACCTCCAAGCCAGATTCTCAACAAATACCAATTTTAAGGCCATATGCCTGAGCCTGGCTTAGTTGTACAGGGTTTGTCAGTGTTCTTCAGAAAAACTGAGTAACTCCAGAATTGTTCTGTCTTCATCAATTATTCAATATGACTTAATATTTTTAAAAATCTACATTCTGAATCTTTGAGAACTTTTACTTGAATTTATACTTGTTTTGCGCCCTTGGTCTATTAACAGATGGTTCGGAGGCATTCAGAGTTTCGGGAAAGAGATCTGACTATGCTTTTTCATCCTGTCTTTCTGTTTTAATGCTATTTCAGTTTTAAAACATAAAAAAAAAAGACATTTTTTACAATCCCATTTCTTCCCCAGTGGGGAGTCTAGTTCATTATTCCCAAGGAGACAAATCATGGTAACATAGGTTCTGTCGTAAGATATTTCAGCATTAACCCGAAGCAGATCCAAAAACAGCCTTCTGGATATTTCCAGCATGGCTGTGTTGGGCAGGGCTCTCCCAAAGCAGTTGTTGCCTTCAATCAGGAAGCCTCCCAACTTTATGACACTGTTTCAACTAAGGCTCTCCTGCTGTTATCATCAGGGTGTCCAGTTGGGGTTCAGGTCCTGGTGCCCCAAAGAATTGAGCAAGTGTACAGAAGTAACAGGCAAAGTACGGATTTACTGAAGGTGAAGGTAAAAGTAGCACTCCTTAAGTTGGAACAGAGTGGGCCCAATGTCTGGAAATTAGAGTTTTATATGTGGAGCTGTGAGATGTTGTCTTCCCTAGATGGACCTGATTCAAGGCCTTACCCTACTTGCTCCTATTGGTTACCTTAAATACCTGATTCAAATATGGTCCAATTTTCCCCCATTGGTTACTTTAGAAAACCTAATTATAATACTGCCCACTTTATCCCCATTGGTCGTTTTAAAATACCAAACCTGTGGCCGAAGTTGTCGTGGTTATAAGGCCTCAGTGGCGGGAGTTGTCATGGTAATGGGACTTACCCTACACAGAGACATGAGAGCACATCCCCTGTCTATTCTTCAGCAGCATCTTTCTTAAACCCTGCTCCACCATCTTGGCATCCTGAACTACTGCCTAATACTGCCAAATCCACATGTGGACCCACCCCACCAAAGGTATTACTCTTTGGGATTTGCAGTTGAGGTCACTTAAATACTCATGATATAAATGATTAAACCATGGTTTTCAAACTTGAGCATCTGAATCACCTGGAGGGCTTGTTAGAGTAGATTGCTGGGCCCCACACCCAGCATTTCTTACTCAGTAGGTCTTCAATGGTGCCCGATTTTAATTTGCATGTCTGACATTCCCAGGTGATGTGACTGTTTCTGGTCCTGGAACCACATATTGATGACCAATAGACTATTCTACAGTCATCAGCAAAAAAAGTGTTCCACCAAGAAGAAGAAGTGGGCTCCCGTGGAAAGGACAGATGAAATGAACTCCCAGAGTCCATACTAACGGACAGCAGCAACATAGGTTAAAAAAACAGGTGTCCAATTATCACTATCACATCATTATTACTGTCATTAGAGACAAAACATAACCAACGCTATTTATTTTCTTCCACTCTCTTCCAAACCTACTTATTGACCTCAATTACCCCAGAAGAAAAGGAACATAACTAAATGAAATGAGGTGTCAACACTGCACCATGGCCTGCCTGGGCTGTAAGATGATCCTGCCACTCTTCTCCAATGGCCTTCCAGAAGCCACAGACCACCTCAAAGCCACAAGTCTAGTGGCCTTTCCCTGAAGTGCACATTCTCCTTGTTTATTTTGTAGTATTTATAGTGTCACAGGACATAGACTTCTTAAGCTATCAATTATAATTTTGTTAGAATTATAATAAAATATTAATAAGTATACAAATTTCATTTTTACTTTATTCATATATCATCCATAAGAATCTTTATGTGCATATTGATGACTATTTTATACAAGTTACGGAGACATCTGGCACCTTGGAGGCTGTCAATTATGTCACTACTAGCCTCACCCTACTGATGAATTTATATTTCTCATCTTCACACAGAAAGATGTCATTCAACCAGCATTTCTACAGGGTGTAAAACACACCACATTGTGAAATAAAATCACCATTTATTTTATTTTTAAATCCTTATCTATTTATTTACTTTGTGGTGTCAAGGAGCAAACCCAGGGCCTTGCACAGGCCAAGCACACAGCTTACACAGCGCCCCCCTGGATTGCCATTAAAAAAGTTATATTTCTTATTATTGTATGAGATTCTATAAAGATCTGAAGAAAATTTAGGGACTTTCAAGTTTCAACAATGTGTCCTGAGGCATCTTTTCCTTCTATGTGTTTTTTAAATGTCAATGTGACCATTTATTGAGAAAACATGTGTTGAACTCTTCTCTATGCTGTGTCTTATGATAGATGTTAGGAAAATAAAAATGAATAATACATTGCTGTCTTCCAAAACCTTACAAGATAGTATCCATAATTTAAAGCCAGATGTAAATACAATTGACACAGCAAGAATAAAAACCAAATTTCTCCTAGGTTGGTTCCTTAGCCTCAGGACCAGAACATAGACAGGCTGTTTCCCCCAACATCTTGTCATTTGCAAACCTTGGGGCCAGGTTGTCCTTTTCCAGGCGGTCCTTCTGGGCCTCTTGTTCCTGGAAGCCCGGCTTCTCCCTAGAGGAAATCACACTGAAGTCTTAGCTAACGTTCCATAGACAGAATACATAATTCTACCTTGTCTCCTCTTATTGCCAGCAGATTCAGCTGAGACCCTCCACTCTAGTCTCAAAATTAATTTGGAAGCATATCAATGAATAAATTAACATTAAACTTCAGTTCAACCAGAGCAGCTGAAATATCATGAAAAAGTCTAATTTCTCAGCCAATTTCCAAAGCAATAAGCTCACTTTCCTTTGGCTCTTCATTCACATTTGGTGGATATTATTTTTAACAAGAAAGACCTTCAGCCTTTCCATCTGCTGTTTTTCAGTACTTTTATTGAAAAATGAGTATTTCAAATGTCAACTCAAAATTATTCAGGAAATCTTTACAATGGTCTTACTTCCTGAATGCACTTACAGACTCTCCTTTTGGAAGGGGTAAAAGGGGTATTTTTCTTTAAGTTTAAATTAATGTGCTTTCTAGAAATCCTGAAGGAACTAGGTTACTGGAAAATGCCAAGGCCAAAATACCAGAGAGGAGGCAGAGAATGTGAAACACTATTTTAGCCTTTAAATTGATGCTCTTTCTATCCAGAGTAAGTGAAAGGGAAATTTTAAATTGTGTGACTTTTCTTTTTAAAGATACTCTTTGTCCTGGATGGTTTAATTTGAGCTCCTACAGGACCAAGATACCAGTCTGGTCCAATGGTTTGGACTCCAATAATATGAAAACTTTACTCTTACCTTCTTCCCTGCAGCTCCATCTTCTCCTGGTTCTCCTGTTTGACCTGGGGAACCTTTTGAACCTGGCTCCCCCTGGTGGATAAACAAAGATATTATCTTCCTTAAGTTTGTATTTACCAACCACCTACATTCCGAGGTACTTGCAATTGGATACATCTTACAATGTTTGAGAAAAGTTTGAGATGAGAAATCTGATTAGTAATTAATAGTAACTAAGCTGGTTGACCTTGGGCACATTACTTTACCTTCTGGGCCTCAGTTTTGTATTCTATGGCCATGGGTTCAATAGCAAGCCCCCCCAAAGTAAACTTGGTTAGAATAGAGTCTTTGCAGATATGGTCAAATTAAGATCAGATAATTAAGATGAGTCCTAATAAAGTATTAATGGTGTCTTGATAAAAATAGGAAAATTTCAAGTGAAGAAAAATATACAGGGAAATCATCATGTGGCCACAGAGACAAAGACAAAAGTGAAAATAGTAGTAGGGCAAGGATCAGGACCACAGCTACACAGACAAGCAAGGATTCTGCCTCCAGGCCTGGGGGAAAGCAAGGCCTGTGAACACTTTGACTTTGGACTTCTAGCATCCAAAAACCATGATTTTTTGTTTTCCTAAGCCACCAAGTTTGTGGTTCTTTGTTCTAACATTACCTCTGGAAAACTAAAATAAAATGAAATGAAAAATTGGGCCCCAACACCACTTCCAGTTCTCATATTCAATCATTCTATTCGCTTTCAACTTAATTTGTGATTAAAAATAAGTTCTTGCTGGGTGTGGTGGCGCATGCCTGTAATCCCAGCAACTCAAAAGGGTAAGACAGGAGGATCATGAGTTCAAAGCCAGCCTCAGCAAATGCAAGGCATTAAGCAACTCAGTGAGACCCTGTCTCTAAATTTAAAAAACACAAAAATAGGGCTGGGGATGTGGCTCAGTGATTGAGTGCCCCTGAGTCTAATCCCTGATACCTCCAAAAAAGAAAAAAAAAGTTCTTTAAAATATTCATTAAAAAGTGTTAATTTCAAAGAGCATAAAAGTGTTCATGCTGCACTTAGTAAAAGCAAAAAAATATTGACTTAATCAAAAAACATTTCTGCCAATATAAAAAAAAAACTACTGGGAGTAAAAAACATAGTAAACCTTTTTTAAAAAGTGGAAGAATATGATAAACACGAAAGAATAAAAAATAAACTTGAAAACAAAATGTACAAAGATTCACAAAATTAAAAGGCAATAGTTTTAAAAACTAATAATAATGAATAAATATCTAACAGGAATTTTTAACATTTAAAAAAGAAAATTTTTAAATTTTATACAAGGATTTCTAAAAACTTTGACATCATTATTCAAAGTACATGTATGAAGACACGGATTGGTGTGAACATACTTATATATAACCAGAGATATGAAAAATTGTGCTCTATATGTGTAATAAGAATTGTAATGCATTCTGCTATCATTATTTTGAAAAATCAATTTGAAAAATCTTTAAAAGTATTATTATTCATTCCACGGTTATTCATTTTTTAAAAAATCTACAAAAAAATTCTGTAAAAAAATAAACAAATGCATTTTCAATTAAAAAAAGAGAAAAAACTAGAAAAAAAGGAAATCTACCCAATTTGATATGATCCAGTAATTTAACAATTTCACTTCTGAGTTCTTATCTGAGAAAAATGAAAGCACTTGTTGTCCACACAAAAGCATATAAATAAATGTTCATAGCAACTTTATTTAAATTATCCAAACCCTAGAAACAATGAACTTACAAGAGGCAAATGGATAAGTTGTGATATATCTACACAATGGAAAGCCACTCAGCAACATGGAAAGATAAACCATTCATAATGCTACAATATGTATCTCAAAATGCTTTTGCTAAGTGAAAAGAAACTGGAAAAAATACATAGTATATGATCACATTTATACAAAATTCTAAAAACCCGTAAACTAATATGTACTGACAAAATGCAGATCAATGGTTAGGGATCATTGAAAAGCGTATTAGTATACAGGAATACTGAGGGAGAGAGGGAAAGATGGTATTACAGAAGGTAACAGAACTTTTGTGGGTAATGGATGCCTTTATTATCTTAGTTGTGAGAGGGTTTCAAGCACAAACATATACTAAAACTTATCAAATAGTGAAGTTTAAGCATGTATAGTTATTATATGCTAATCTTATAATAGTCATTTTAAATGTATGCAAAATCCTGAATAAAATATTAGTCAATTGAATTATCATCATGAAAGAGTATACTTATGATCAATTAGATTTAACTCAAAAGTACAAGGATCATTCAACATCTAAAAACTCTGTTAATGTATCAGTTCAATAGGTTAAAAGGGAAAAAAAGCTACAATTATTTAAGGATATGTAGAATTTGATAAAATTTAGTATTCATTTATAATTAGTAAACAGCATTTGGTATGATAGAAATAAAAGAGAATTTCATTGACCTAATAGAGGCTATATCCCCAAAACGACAGCAAACAAGAGTGCCACTTTAGAAGCACCTCCTTTGAGGTTACTTCATTTCAACAATTTACCTAAGATCCTAGCACTATAATAAATAAGAGAAATAAATAAGAGAAAATAAATATAAAAATAAATAAGAGAAAGAAGGACTAAGAAAGAAAAATTGTTTTCAATTTCAGACAACATGATCATGTACACAGTGTTAAATAAAAAAGCAAGAGACTCTACAATTAGAATAAGTGATTTCACATGGTGAATAGATTTAAAAATCAACATACCAAAACTAATACCAAACAAATTAAAAACTTTTCCTATAGATCCCTAATAACTAGAAGATATAGAAAAAGAGAAAAATTCCAATTGCAAACATTTTTCCAGGATATCTGAGAATAATTTTCACAAAAGAAGTACAAGTTATGAAATCTCTGGAGAAAATGATAAAATATTTTCCTAAAAATCTGAATTTTACCTTGTAGTTTGAAAGTTTCAATATTTGATCTCTAGATTCAATGCTGTCCTAAGGGGACATTTTATTAAATTTTGCAATCTAATCCTAATATACATGTTAGAATTGATAGATAATAAGCAAGAAAGAAGATGATGTGAGTATTTTTCCCATCAAATGCAAAACTTATTTTTAATCTGTCATGGTCAATAGCAGGAAGTAGCACTGAGAGAGATATACAAAGAAAGCATCATAGGCCACTCAGGCACCGCTCCTCACAATACAGAATCCTGACATAGAACATGATGGCATTACAAATCAGTGTGACCAAGATGGTTTATTCAAGAACTGAAGCACGAACACCTGGTTATCAATGTGAGGGAAAAAAAAAATAGATCCTACATTAGCCCATACACAAAAACAGATTCCATGTGGATTTAAGACTAAATTTTTTTAAAAAGACTAAAAAATATTCAGAAACACAGGAATATCTTTATGACTATAAAGCCAATAAATACTTTTTAAATAATATTTTTAAAGCAGAAGTCATAAGGTGATAGAAATGTAAAACTTCCATACACTAAAAGATACCCCAAACTGGAAATGCAAGCCCCCAGCCTAGGAGAAGATATTTGCAACCCATATAACAAAAGAATAACATCCAAATAAAGAACTCTAACAAGGAAAAAACCTAACCTCAAAAAAAGAATGAATATAGCAATTTACAAAGAGAAAAGCTAGAGGTCCATTAAGCACATGAAAAACTGTTCATTTAGTAACAGGGAATAAAAACTAAAACAATGAGATATATTTTACACATTTTGTGCTGAAGTCACTGCCTGTTGCTAGCAGGAGCATGGTGTGGCACCCCTGTTGAACAGGACTTTGGCAAAGCAAAGTTGAAGACTTGCATACTGTGCAGTCTTCCAGTCCTACCTCTATCTTCCATAAGTGAGGGAAACTTGGACTCTAACTTATACAAAAGAGAACAATGTCAATGGAGCATGGTTGACAAAAGCAAAAAAAAAAAAAATGAGAGGCAATTCAAATATCCATCAACAAATGGGTAAACATAAAATGAGATTTTTCACACAATAGAATAGTATAGAGCAATAAAAATGAATTAATTGATTATAGGCATATAAAAGTACTAATAAAACACACAAGACTAAGTATAACTATATTGAAGAAGGATACGTATAGTTTAAGAACACAAAATAGTAATATGTGGTTTATGTATGAAAACACATGTGGGAAACTAGAAAAATTTGAAGGAATGATAAACACCAAAGTCACGATAGGGGTATGTCTGGGGAGGGGAGGCAGAGCAAAGGCACTCGGACAGGGTGGAACCTGTGTCTCTGCTTTATCTGTAGCCTCTTAAAACTGAATTTTGAGTCAACCCAGCAAAATGTTATCAGTTGATGAAGCTGGGCAGTGGAATACATGTGCATTCTTTGTATTATTATGTATACTGGTGAGCATATTTGAAATATTTTCTTTTTAAAAGTGAGAGAAACTTAAGGTTGCACAACTTGTAAGTGACAAAACTGGGATTTGAATTTAGGTGGTAAGGCTTAGCCTTGCTATATTGTAGACTGCCTCTCTGGAACTAATATATAAATGACATAATGTATATATACATATGTCATGCACTTAGCATATTAGGTAGCGCATCAACGCCATACAAAACTGTAGCCATTATGCTATATTAATATGTTTTTTCTTTATAATTACACATATAGCATGTCAATTATTCTTAGACCCTCAACTTACATATTCTTTTCTTTTTGGTGGGAGGGTAGTACCGGGGATTGAACTCAGGGACACTCAATCACTGAGCCACATCCCCAGCCCTATTTTGTATTTTATTTAGAGACAGGGTCTCACTGAGTTGCTTAGCACCTCGCTTTGCTGAGGCTGGATTTGAACTCGAGGTTCTCCTGCCTCAGCCTCCTGAGCCACTGGGATTACAGGCATGCGCCACCATGCCTGGGTTACCTTACATGTTCTTCTAATACCCAAATGCTTATAGGAATCACAGCAATGACAGCAGAACAAGGGTGAAGTGTAGTGCTCGGCCTGGCTCATCAGACCCTACACACTTTGAGAATGAGTTACAGAACTTGTGAAGGGTGCATCCTTTTCTTCAGTAGTATTTATTGAGTGCCTATCATGACCTCAAAACTGGGTGTTCAATAATCAACAAGATAAACAAGTCTCCTGCCCCACGTGAAGCATTTCTTTTGGAATGGCACTGTATAATACCAATCATCAAGCAAGCCATGCATATAATCAGAATTCTTCTATTAGCCACATTTTAAGTTATATCAAGTTAGATAGATGGCACATGCTGATCTGTATTGCAATTGGACATAAAGGAAGGTTTAATGTTACGTAACTTTCTTAATAGCATCTGAACAGCAGAGTCAACTCACCTTTGGACCTTGTGCTCCAATCCCCACTGGTCCTCTAGGGCCTGTAGGTCCTATGGGGCCTACTTCTCCCTGGTAAGGAAAGAGTACTGAAATATTGCAGCAAAATAAAAACAACATATTCCTGCCTTTGATCTCCTAAGAGTTGTCTTCTTTCAACAAAGTGAGATAAAATAGTTTCATGTGCTTAATTCATACATGTATTGCCTGGGATCCTCTAGGCCAGATGGATTTTTATCATATTTGGAACATATAAATGTGGACCGACTTAAAATATAGGGTATGTAGTATGTTCACAATTGGTTAAGAGCTCCTGTGGAGGCACCTAGAAAAGATAGGCAGTTACATTCTAGAACAACTAAAACGGACACATTGAAAGCCAAGATGATGTCTGTCTGATCAAGAGCAATATCATAACCAGAGAGAGAACCTGAGTTTTCAATGATAAGCCTTTAATAAAAACCACAAGGAAAGCAGTAGTTTTCTATGGAGCTACTTCTCATATGGACAGCTGTAGGAAGTATACTCTCAGGTGAGAAGTCTCTGGGAAGCATTTTGTTTATTTAACCATGATTAGTGATTCCTTGAAACAACATTAAAAGTAGTTAGCTAAATAATAAGTGGCATGCTTTTCCTCCAGAGATAAATAATAGTTCCAAATAAAGAGGTAACTTGATACCAATGTTCATGGAATCAGAGGTATATAAAAACACAAATAAAACATAAGGCTAAGTATAAATATTTTGCAGAATGATAAGTAATGGTTCCATTCAGCTCATTTCTGACTGTCTCCTTAACAGCACTCCTGGGGGAGTGCTTATGAGAAAACCAATTAGCCAAAACCCAGAGAGGCCTGGAACCACAGGCCCACGGTCTACTGACATTACAGTTTGCGTTGCCAGAATACGGTCTATTACCCCAAAATATCAAAGAATATAAATAAGTCTGTGTAAGTAAAACCTTCTTAAAGCATAAAGAATATATATTACAATTTATAAATTGTTAGGAATATCAGTAATATTTGGTATAAAGATCTCTGATTTCTAAGTTCACTCTATCTGTTCTCTTCCAAATAACATTGACCAGAAAACAGCAATTCTACTATAGATAAACTCTGCTGTCATTTAGAAAGTTACCTTAGAACCAGGTAATCCTTGTCCTGGGGGTCCTTGTGGACCAGGGGGACCAATAGGACCTTGGATTCCCTTTGAAATAAAAATTTTAAGAATTTTATTAATGAAATCAAGAAGATATTTGGGTAATAACAGTTTCAAGTCCTCTAACACGATCATTTAGTTCTCATTCCATAATAGATGATTTATACGACATAAACGTTTTTTTGAATGGAGTGGCAAGGGCTTCTAGTTGAACCCTAGATGGGATGGCAGACTAACAGAAGAGAACAGCCTGAACCCCTAACAACACTGATGGAGAGTCACCAGGCCAGCTTGGAATTTTAAATAAGAAAAGTATAATTTCACCAAATTGTTGACCCAATTCATATCTCTGTCACATGCAAGCAAACCCTATACCCCTTCTTGGACCGATTGCATATTGAGATGTTAAATTGAAAGTTTGATCTGGGCTCTAAGAAGCAACAAGCCAGCAGACGCCACACTGAAGAATGACCAGACTGATTCTCTCCCTCACACTGCAGATGGGAGGAAGAGAGGACTTGTAAAGTTCTCCGGTAGTCTAGATTATAAGGAGGGCTTTTTCTTTCTTTCTTTTTTTTTTTTTTAAGAAAATGGAAGGGGTTTGAGTTACCTCTTTCTTTACTCTAGTCTAGAAAGAGGACTTCAATGGATATTTCTTACTTGTATAATTTGATTTTTGTTTTGGGGAACCAAGGGGCCAGAATCCAACTCAAGCTTGAGAAAGCTAAGATGGCCTGTGGTAGCCAAAAGAAGCCAGGGGCCGTCTGTGGATCCAGAGTCTACCAGGGTAAAAGTCACATGAGATATCCCTGCAAAGAAATTGTATGCTAAGTGTGAGACAGAGTTGGCCTGGAACTATTATCAGTCTTGCCCAAGAGACATGGAAGGATAACAGAACTCCAACAGAGAAAGTCCCCAGTAAAGCAGAGCAGAGAGGGAGGAGCAGCTGCAGGAAGGGACTCTTCATCACACCCTAGAAGGGACAGTCAAAGAGACCCATGAAGGAGCCCCACAAGGAAGAGGTCAGCTTCACACATCTGCAAAGCTCTGAGTGCCCAAAGCCACCTGCTATAGCACCAAACAAGAAAGAGTCCTCAGGCCCTCACACCCAGCCTTCTCCCTGGCTCAGCCCCAGAGAATTGAGAAACACTCCCTCCCTACAGATGGTGCCAGATAATGAAGACTAAAAGCAAAGTTAACATATTGACTGAACACTTTTTGTTACAGAATTAAATCTGAGACTGGCAACTTGCAATGACCCTACAACTTTCTATTACTTAAAAGTGATTTGTTTATTTTTTTAAAGTTTAGAGTCTATTGGAAATTTCTTTCAAGAAAGAAAGAGTCCCCCATAGGGGGTGAAAAAACATTAAAGAATGACTAGAGAGAAAAAAATCTGTTTTGCTTATATCCCACAAATAATGTTTATTTTATGCAGTTATAATGTAATAGATGTTATCCCCTTTTCTCCTTTAGATGATACCACTGCTTTTTCATTTTAAAAATACAAATACTAGTCCCTTTTTCTCTGGTTGACAAAGGTAAGCAGCCCAGACAATTTGGGGAAGTTAAGGTTGTTGCACTGTCAATACTGACTGGTTACAAAACATAACCCTTTCTGACTTTTACAGTAGTCCACAAGTTGCATACAAATAGGACAAAAAAAATTACAGGATGTGCCATATGTAGATGTACATGCCTGTATGTGGTTATTTATATTCCACTTTATTTTGTAAAACATCTGAAGCTATCAAGCCTCCAAATATTTAGTGAAAATCTGGAGGTCATTTTAAAAAAAATTGTAAACATGATGATGGAAACAGAAGTTCACTCGTAAACAGATGAGTAGGAAAACTCATTTCTATAAGTGACATTGGGAGAAATAATAATCACAATAATTCAATGGATAAACTTGTTAAATTAAGGATAAGAAGAAAATTGAATAACTGCATACACAGGTTAAATTTAAGTAGAATTTATGTCATTTATCTTAATGGGGTAAATAAATTCTTGTTTAAAGCAGTTTACAAAGAATACATTCCATTTGCTTCCTATCATTAGGGGTCAGTTCTATAAGGACATTTTTACTCAAAAATTGTCTTTTTTTTTTTTTCTCTTGGAGAAGAAAATGAAGGAAGTCAAGGAGGTTTGAGTTTTTTGTTTGTTTGTTTGCTTTTTAAGCTGCAACAAACTCCATCAAGGATCAGCATTAAAGGAAACAGGAAGCCACAGGTGGGCGGGCTGGGATCCACTGGCCATCTGGACAGACCCGTCTCTCTTTGAACCTCATTCTCCACCAGAGTGGTAACTCAGCATAAGACACAGGATGAGGCAGTGCCATCAGGCAGCTTTCAGGACCAGAATGTGAGCCCTGATGAACCCAGAAAATACACTAGAAATCCTGAGAAGGCCTGGTGGAAGAGTCAATCCAGGATCCTTCAGGAGTCAAAACACTCAACTCTTAATTATTATCTAAATATTTATTTACAGATTTATCTTGGCTTCTTCTGCGCCTTAATCCTCTTAACACAGCCAAGAGCAAGGAAATGGAAAGAGGGGTAATAGCCAACTTCACTGTTGCCTGGTTTGACAAAAATATGTAATAATAATAACAAGTTAGCAGATGGTTAGAAACAAACTCACAGCTAAATGTCTAGTGAGATTTGGAATTGTCTCAAGGTTTTCTTCTTTCCCTAATACCCTGGATAAAAGAAGCACTATTCATGCTCTAGGCCACAGGATAATCCAAACCTTAACCATAAATTTTCATCAAACCAACTTGTCCCTTTCTAACCTGGATGATAAATCTGTATTTGCTACTGATGTTTTATTAAATGAGATATGTAGATAAATGCATATGGTAAAACTATGTGACATGCATTTATGAGTATGTCAAAATGAACCCCAATATGACATATAACACACTATTTTTTTTAATTTTCAAAGTGTATGGTAAATTATAATAGTAAAATTACTGTTATACTATTTTCACATTATTTAGACAATTATCCAGTTTTTCCAAAAGTTATCAGATTGTAGAAACAGAGGTCTTTCCTTTCTTCTGACCAAAAGGGGCCAGATGACTTTTATAAAATCCTACTTGTAGTTTGCTTATATCCAGGAAGGATGCCACTTAAATAAATTGATCACTTCCGATTCTGGTCCTTATTTTAAGTTTAATACCATTTTTAGTTTGGTGTGTAGATAAGGGTGGGAAGTTCTCCCTTGGCATTGGGACCGACTGGGACATAATCACAAAGTGGGACATAATCACAAACTGACACGTAAGTAGACGACTGCTCTCCCAAGGGGAACTAAAAATATAAAATGTTACCTCCAAACTCATACCCTGGTTAATTAGGTTTTAGTGATAAAACTCAAAGCACCAAGAAGCATAAAATTTATATTTGAGTCTTGGAAAGTTATTAAACGAAAATGTTTCCATGAAACTCTCCTTCTACATTCATTTCTGGACTTAACATATATTTCATTGCAATTTGACTGTCAAATGTACTCATAGATGTTTGCAGGATTGGCCTTCAGTGAACACCAGGATTGGGCTGGAATGCTTGGTACCATGAGAATGAAAACAAGCATCAGTTACCTGTTCTCCTTGACTCCCAGTGCCCGGGATGCCCATTGGTCCTTGAGGGCCCACAGGTCCCAAATCTCCCTGTATAGAAAACGTCAAAAGTACAACAATAAATAAAACCTCCTTCTTTTATGCTTTCCAGTCTGAATTTAGGCTTGATTAAAATCTATATTTATACTTCAAAAAATTCAACAAGTAAAATCATAAGACCTCATTGCTTTTGATGATCTCTAGATCAAATTTGCCAAAAGAGTGAATGACATTTTCACTATTTTGTCTAAACTGGTTGGTATGTGCATGGGTTTATATTTAGAAAACATGTTTCTCACAACCAGAATTTCTGAATAGTTATCATAATAATATAAAAACTTCCTGTTAGGACCATAACATAAATATTTAAGAGTTTAAAATTCTTGGGGTATAAGACAACTGGAATTTGAAAGATAAATCGAAGAAGATATTTTAAATTTTTCTAAGTTACTTTCCTCTCCAAATCTTATTAAAAGAACAAAAGTAAATACTACTCATACTTTATATAATATTGAACTATATTAAACTTGTGCGAAGACGCACTCTGGAATGTACTTCTTAGTATTTCAATTTTGAAATTAAGAAAAACCTAAGGTGAAGCCTACAAAATTAAAGAACCCTACCTTCTACACCCATGAAATAAATTCTGTCCTTAACAGAGCTTACAATATTAATAAAGGAAACAGAAAACAATAAGCAAGACAAGTAGATAAAATAAATGCTACATTGATTAATGATCAGTCTGTAGGGGAAAAACTAATTGAGAAAATGGCGTGGCAGTAACAATTGGAAAATGAACCCAGGTGGCCTCACTGATGACAAGGAATGAGCCAGGTAGAAACCTGGAGAAAGGGCATTCCAGGCAGAGCACACAGCCAGCATAAGGATGATCCCTGTACATTTCATAAACAGCAAGGAGACTGTATGGGTGGAGATGGGGACCATGAGGAGAGTGGTAGGTGATACATGGCAGTGGCCAGGCAGAAGGATCAATAAGTCCTGTGAGACAATGGTACTTGTTCTTGCTCTTCTCTGAGCAGTGTGACTGGGTGACTTCACCAAGAGTTGGAAAAAAGAGAAGGTCCAAGGACTGAGTCCTTTAATCTCTCCAGTCATTAGAGGTCAGAGGAATGAACCAGAAACAGCAGTAGAGACTGAGAAGGAGCACCCAGAGACCAAGCCAAGAGAGGGTTTCAAGAAGGTGAGGGAGCAAGAAAGGGTGCTGATAGGTCAAGTCAAATGACAACTGAGAACTGACCACTTATTTCAATGGCAACTATATTTAGACAACTTCAGGTCAGCAAACTTTTTCTAAAAACAGTGGGATAATAATGTTTTGGGCCTGAGGACGAAAATTAGGTCTCTTTTGTAACTGATCAATGCTGCTTTGAGAGTGTGCAATCAGCCATAAACAATACACAAAGCAGCAGATATGCTTATGTTCCAATAATGTTGAAATAGAAAGACGGACAGGCAGCTGAGGCTATGTAAATATGTTTTTATGAACAAAAGTAAATACTACTCATACTTTATATTTTTTTAAAGAAAGAGTGAGAGAGGAGAGAGAGAGAGAGAATTTTTAATATTTATTTTTTTTAGTTCTCGGCGGACACAACATCTTTGTTGGTATGTGGTGCTAAGGATCGAACCCAGGCCGCACGCATGCCAGGCGAGCGCGCTACCGCTTGAGCCACATCCCCAGCCCCTACTCATACTTTATATAAATAATATTGAACTATATTAAACTTGTGCCAAGTTACACTCTGGAACATACTTCTTAGTATATTGTCTACCTTGGTCTAAATAAATAAGGAAAATATTATGGACTCAAGTTCTGATCCAGAATCAGATTATTCTGATTCAGTACTTGATTGTTCATGATGCAAGAGTCATTGTGCTAAATGCTTTTCATGATTTTTCTCACTAATCCTCCCAATAACTCTCTATGGTGGGCATCACCATTTTCCAAATGACCTTAGGTAATTTGCTCCAGGTCACATACCTATTAAGTGGCAGACATGAGATTCAAATCTACACTCTGTCTCACTCCTCAACCCAACTCATAACCACTATTCTGCATGTATTCAATAAACACATGAAAATTATATCCTTTTGTACAGTTTTTTTTTTACAATTAAAGTCTGTGTCATAACTAATTTTTTGTTTTGTTCCAAATATATGTATTTGTGAGCCCTTGTCACACGGTGTTTATGTCATCACTTGAATCACACCAAAGTCTTTGAATCTGATGCTGCACCTAAAAGAGTAGGAGAGGAAGAAAGGGGGAAAGGAAAGAGAAGATGGTATTGATTTAGGAAGGGGATAGCAAATAAAAGCTTTTTATGCAAAGCGTTTTCTTTGCATGAGCTCCAGATGTAAAAACACAAATGCCCATGTCACAACAACCCTTGAAAAAGTTAATTTACTGAACTCACAAAACAATGGTTCTATTGTATTTAGTTCTCACTGCCCCCAAAGGAAAAAGAACATCTTACATATTTTGGAAGTATTTTGGAACTGCAGTTACAACCAGAGCTGAGCTCTTTGAAGCAAGAATTGTATTGCATCTAAAATTTATATGATCCATTACTTATCATTATCTCTGCTATTCAAATACAGACAACCAGAAGAAATAACTACCAGAAAATAAAAGGAATAAGTCATTTCAAGATTGAGGATAATCATGAGTATCAGTTATTACTCTAATTTAATAAATAATATAATGTGTGCTTAATGGTTGGCATATAAATGACTCCAAATTGATATGAGGTCTCTGGTTTTTGCACATATCTTCTGTCTCCCCCCCTTGACAACTTTCACTTCCCACTGCTCTTTAGAATCTGAGCAGCTTGCAGTAACTTCTGTCACCAGCCTCACCACCCCTTCTAATTAGGGTCATGATCTTCAGATATTTTAAAGAAAATGAGTAACTAATGCTAAAGAGTAAAGCAACGTCTGATGGCTTGGAGCTGACCTGACCCTGGCAGCTGGGCTGCAGTGCTGAACATAAACAAGCTCATCAAAGCGACAGACCAAGACAAAAGCAAGACTGCTCTGTACTCATGTCTGAGCACAGACAAACCACAAACACTGTCCAAATCCCTAGAAGTGGTCAAACATTCTCCTGCACTAGCTGAAACGAGTTGCTGCTACTTCTTTGACTATTACATCTCAATCTAACACCATTTTTCTCAGTTTCTAGATGAGACTCATTAAAATACTCAACCTTAAAATAATTCCCACTTTCTGGTAGCATTCAATGCAAAGCAACCTATGCTATCTTGAAAGGTCCCAAAAGTCACCCAACACAAACCCAAGTTCTATAAAAAATCTCTTCTTCTTCCTTCCTAGTTGCAGTTGGTCCCCCAGGGTTTATGGTTTCCATGTTGCAATGAGTCAGTAAACCTTTGTTTAACTAAAGGTGGACTCCTATTGTTTCTTGCTATAGGGTATCAACACTAGTTTTCTTAAATGAGTTCTATTATTTTAATATTTTTGAATGAATGCCTGAAGGTAGAGATGGACTGTAATGAGGCCAAAATGTTTTTAACAACTATTTTCTATTACACTAAGGACAGGTATTTTTTTGCTAATGTCTGTCTTCAAAGATGCTTTGCTGATGACTGAAGTCACAGGAAGTTAGAAACCAAATAAGTGACACATTACTCTAAATAATAGGACTTCCCAGATCATAATTCATCCAATATAATAAATATACCTTGCATAGACAAGATTTATAATTAATTGAATACCTATGTGTCATGATTGTCATGTTATATTTGGTTTTAAAGTGTACACTCATTAAAAGCAATGACAAAAATAATTTTACTGGCATTGTTTCCATTATACACCTTGTATACAGTACCTTGTCCCCTTTGATTGACAGGCCTTGTAACCCTTGTGGGCCAATTGGTCCTTCAGAACCCTTTTCACCCTGAAAGTGCATGGAAGGGATATCAGCGCATTGATTAAAATTATTTTACAAGATTTACATTAAAGTTACTATGAATTATACTTCAAATTGATTTTTTCAATCAAGTATCCAAATTCACTGCCCACTGTGAATGAGTAATTCTAACTGACTCTAAGATTTGCAACTTGCAAAAAAAATTAGTCATATCATTTTCACAGGAAGGAGTCTGTCCCAGCAGAATACATATATAGCATTGCTGAAATTGGAAAAGAGCTCAATTTCCAATCTCAATAGAAATACTGAAACCAGGAACCTAATCAATTAATCATGAGGTACAACTACCTCGATCAAGCCTTCTATTCCTTAACATGGCTACACTTGGATCCATGGTACAAGAAAATTTGTCTCTCATATATGTGAACCAATACTCGCAAGATTGGATTACTTATTAAATGTTTTATATCTAAACTTACAGAGACATTCATTGAAAATCTAGGTTTAGAAGGCTTCGTGGAAAACCTTGTATTTGCTTCTATGATCAAATGATCTCTGTGAACAGCTGTTCTTACTATATGAAGTCATAGCACTTCATGCCTTTGTTATAAAAATAAACCATGTCAATCAGAAACAATATCCATTTAATAAGTTCATTAGAACCAAGAATAAAATCAAAGAACATTTTTAAGAAACTTAAGAAAAAGGAAAATATAGCTATATATTTCTATCCATAATTTATTCACTTACTCGCTACAAATTAACCACAATCTAACTGAGTCAACAGGTCTGCCTGGCTGGGGAATGAAGTGCTCTGACTGGTGGGTTCTTCTGATCATTACCAAAGAGCAAAGTCCCATGTACTTGACCCTAAGGAAACACTGAAAACCATGTGTTCTTTCCTTGTTGAAACAGAGGCCAATGTAGAGCCTGGGGTTATTATAAAGATTGTATCATCACATCATACTTCATTTAACATAAAAGTATGTTGAACATGTCACTAAGGCATTCTCTGAAATATACTTCTTAGTGTTTCACATATTTATTTCTTATTTGTTTTTGTTGTTTTGTTTTGTTTTGTTTTGTTTGAGGTTTGTGGGGGTTTTGTTTTGTTTTGTTTTTGTACTAGAGATTGAACTCAGGGCCACTTGACCACTAAGCCACATCTCCAACCCTATTTTACATTTTATTTAGAGATAAGAGTCTCAAATCTTAACACCTTGCTTTTTGCTGAGGCTGGCTTTGAATTTGTGATCCTCCTGTCTCAGCCTCCTCCCAGGCACTGGGATTACAGGTGTTCAGCACCACACCCAGCCCTCATTTGTTTCTTTATCTTTAACACAAACACACAGACGTTATAAAGATAAATAATTTTCACAATTTGAATTTTCCGGATTGTTTGGGCTGCACATAAAAAAAGACATTTATAATGTGCCAAAAATTTAATGAAACTATGTATCATAAAACTTTCTAAAATGTAGTTCTAAGTCTTTGACCTGTTTTCTAAGAATGATACTTTAGTTATGAAATATCATATTTATCCAAAATATCACTAACATTATTGTGGCAACTTTAATGTCTTAACAAGGTCCTCTTCAAAATTCAGCTCACAACATAGTATGAATTATTTGTTACAGCAATTGCTTTTCCTCTTTTGAGATTTGGGTTTCTCAGAGACAACTGAGTATTGATCATAATGAAAGAATCTGAGAATGAGATACAATTTTAGAGTATGAGGCCATATTGAGAAGGTCAGATCTGAGTGACCTGACAGAATAACTGTTGTGCAGGGTCTGGGAAAGCAACATATGGTTCTCTGGGTTGTGTGGGTGTGTGTCTATGTGGGGGGTGGGGAAGACTTTAGAAATGAAGCAACAACCCAGAAATACATTATTGTTTGCTGTGAAATTTTTTTTAATAGTGCCCAGCGTATTTTGGAGAACCATTTCCTATGCGGTGTTTGGCAGATGTGTTATAGATATGGGTAAACCACCTAGACAACAGGACAGCAAACTACAGCCCACTGGCCAAATCCCATAGCCGGCTTTTTGTAAACACAGTTTTGTTGCAGCAGCCAGATTCATTCATTGATACGTTTTTATGGCTATTTCCATGCAGCAACAGCACAGTTGAGTCATTGCAACTGATACCATATGTCTTACAAAGCCTAAAATATTTGCTATCCAGCCCTTTACAGAAGTTTGACGTGCCCTGGTGCAGAGGAACTTGAGCTCCAAGAATTATATGTGGGGAGCAGTAGGAAAGTTTGAAATCATAATAGTTTGGTCCTTGTAGTGAAAAATCAGTTTTCTTATGATTTTGATGGCAGTATAAATTGATGTATTAGATTTTTGTATCCTATCTGTGTTTCATAAAACAAAGCTGTGAGCCGTGTTGCCATAGCTACACTGAATAACTTGACTTCTGGGCATCAATATGCTATTTACCACTGGAGCGTTAATGACTGCAAACTGAGAGTTTCTAATTTCATATGTGGTAATTACATGAAATAGAAATCTGTTGATGACTTATTTTATAATTAAATATTTCACCATACTTTTACATTAAAAGAAAATTGACAAATTCCTTCACACAATACAGGGCAAATAGTCAGGAAATACTTAACTTCTAATAATCAGTGTTTTAAAAAATCTATGATTCATGACTATGCAGGACAAAGTGCTGTGGGTTTTTTTTTTTTTTCCTAGTTCAGAAGCTTTTATTACCTTAGGTCCTGGAAATCCTTCTCCAGGTAAGCCCCTCTCTCCTGGTGCTCCCTCAGGACCACGGGGACCCTGGATAGGGTAGGAGGGAATGAGGAGCAGGAGGTGAGAGAGCAAGAAAGAAAGGCAGGAAGAGAAAAGGAAGAAGAGGGAAGAAAGAGAATAATTATATTTCAGTTCACAAGGATATGGCGGTGATATAGTCCTCCTAAGTTTTTCCTGAGTGTCCTTCTAGTAAGCTCCCAAAGTATTTTGGAAAACCATTTACACTGATCAGCAGAATTGTAGAGTTGTAACGAAGAAATTCACCTTGTATTCAAATACTTATTCTGTTTGATTGGCATAAGCACTTCTAGGATCCTCAAATTAGAGGAAAATGGAAATGAAGTGATGCTTCGGAATAAGGATTAGGAAATAAATCCTATGAGGAAAGGCTGAAAATTCAAGACTGTGTGATCTGGAGAAGGATGCAGTGTTATTTTAAAATTTGGTTAAGTTTTAAGGGAGCCCATTGAAGAAATCACTGCACAGCTGTTGCAAAGCATTGGATACTACTTACATGTGTTTTGATTTCTGTCCTGATATACTTGGACTAAAACTTGAATTATTTCAGGAACCCATTGACTCCACTGGCAGTTCTATGCATAAGCTGCTATCTTGATAGATCAATGAAGGGAAACATGGTTTTCCATATTGATGATTAAAATTAAGTCTGGATGACTATTGCTCAGAAGAGGAGCACTTCTAAAGGCACTAGAAGAGGAGAGGACTTCTTGGTCCTAGGCTTTGAAATGGACTGGCAGAAAACACCCTACTTGGAAAACATAAAACAATAGCAAGGTTTTCATTTAAACTAGAAAAAAAAAAACTTAAAAACTACGAATTTTCCTCTTTTCTTCTTGTCCAAAAGGTTAAAAAGAAAGAAATGAAAAGGAACTAACAACAAACCTCTTAAAAGCAAAAACCGGAGAATTTCCTCTAATGATCTTCAGATGATTCAGATTAGCTAACTAGGGAAGTCCTGGAACAGTCTAATGAATTTCCCTCAAGGCCCAAAGCCAGCACACTGCAGGCTACAAGGTCGTTGGGCTCTAGGTACACTAATCCAGGATTACCTAAGAGATGCATTAGACTGGTGGCAGAACAAGGTTGCAGCATTATGTTCAGCAGTAGCAGACCCATTATGAATTTGTATTTAAGAAAGAAAACTAACTGTATCTCAGTGTTTAACTTCTTTGTGCTTTGCCCTGAAATTGCATATTTTAAAAGACAGTCTTTTTTTACTATTCAGTAAAGACTTTAATTAAAAGAAAAAGCTAACATCTAATTGAATTTAAATTGTAATGCTTGTGACCTTTAACAATCCAAAATCTTAATCAAAGCACTAATATCCATGACAGCTTACTCTAATGGTAGAGCAGTCAGCTAGGGAGGAAATAAAAAGGAGCATGAAACTGGATTGCAAACTAAACTGAAAAGTGCCAAGTTAAAATCATGCACATTCTCAAAGAACAGCAAATTTTTCTTCTTCCCTAATGACAGGACTAATGAAAATGAAACTTTTTATATTAAACATAATGAATTTTTTCCAGCTCAGTTTTTTTTTTTTTCATTCATTCAACAAATACTTATCAAACACCCAAGAAGTGGAAGGAATTGTACTAGGAATAGCAGACAGATCTCCTTGTCTCATGGAATTTAGTCTTGCATGCTAGTTAAAAGGAGATTTTGGTGTCTTTTAAATCAAGGTTCAAGTCTGACTTTTGCTACGTATTAGCAATGTCACCTCGATCAGATAATTCAATCTCTCCAAACCTCAGCATCATCTTCAGAATGATGACAGTACTACCTCAGCCACTAGTATTATTGTAAAGATTCACAGACATTTAGAGCTCTTACATATGACTACATGCCTGCTGCAATTATCAAACCTAATTTTACTTCAGCTCCATCATTGTTACAAATGTCCTTTGTGGAGTGTTTAGAAATAAGGAAATCTCAGAGGTTGGTCTACATTAGGCACAGTGGTGACAGACATTTATTCTGGCTGCACAGAATAAATGAATTTTCTTCCCTTCTCCTCTGCACTTGTAGAATACAGCAATGAAGGTGAAAGTGAAAGTAATGGAGGAGTTAAGGAATCCTGCGTTCAAAGCTGTTGAGAATGGAGTTAAGGCTCATGGGCCAGCACTTAGGGGAATTAAAAAATCAGTGATCCAAGGTTTAATTACTGTGAACTGTCAGAGAAATATTCCATACCATCAGTATGTTCTCAAGTTTTCCAGTTAAAGAGTCGGGATAGAAGATGATTATTAACCAGAGAAGAGAAGTAGCAGGTACTTGGGTTAGATGAACCATACTTTTAATTTAGTAGTCAGGAAAGACCAGAGGATCATTTTTTAAAAATATTTTTATTGACAGATAATAATTGTATGTCATTTAAAAAAGAATAAATGCTTCTATAAAAATGTCAGTGTCCTTTTCAAAGCCATGAGAACCAGTTAGAACTATGGCATATTTGTTTGTTTTTTAACAAACATCTCTAAAATACATTTATTTATATATTTTTATAAATTTATATATGATCATTATATATTTGTTTATATAATGATTATTATATATTTTAACATATCATTAGATATAATAGATTAATATTTAATTATCAGAGATATATATTAGTTATATAATTGGGTTCTTCCATTTATACTTTAATCCCAATTACCAGTTAACTCAGTCTAATCAGTGAAATGCTTTATTGAAACATTAGCAATGAAATTAAAATATGATTGCGCATTGTATTTATCTTATTACTTTCCTTAATAAGATCAACAGTGTTAATAACCTTAAAAATGGTTTCAGAATACTCTGCAAGTGTTAAAGATAAATATGTGAAATAATAATAAAAATTGCCCATTATATTCAAACAGTGTCATCTATTTTATTTTTAACTTCAAAGTAATTAGAGTTCTACTTCAGGGGATATCTTTTTTCCCCTGAGAGTACTCTCTGAATGACCTTGCATAAAAAGTAGATCACTTTGAGAGTCTCAGTTGATTTACTTTTTATAAATCAGCTATATTTATCAGATCAGCACAAAACAAGTGATACACAAAAATGATAGCTAACTATTCAAAGGCAGGCCTTAGAGTGAGAATACTAATTCCATCTACTGGTAGATTTACATTACTGCGGCATTAGCAAGAGTAGCCCTAGACCTAAAACCATTTGAAATGATTGGGGCAAAGGAACAAAGTAAAGGATTTTCAGCAGAATCTCTGTCAATCCTCAGGTAACTCTTTATGTCACTTCTAAATAATTTTAAAAAACTCACTTTGTTGATTTTTTTTATTATGACATTTTTGTTGCAATAGTCTGACACTTTATTTGGGATTCTTCTCACTTTGTTAGTATTTTGTTTCCAAATAAGTCAGAACTTCACAGCATCACTCTCATTGGTGTAATTGTGGCTTCGAAAACATGCCAACAAACAAGAATTTCCTGTTCTGAGAATATTGTGAAAACTCTCGCTTCAGACAGAAAGATAAGGAATATGATTTTTTTTTTCCAAAATGAATTATAAAGATATAGCTGAGCCCAGAGAAAATAAAGTAGGGCTCAACCACAGAGATGAAAACTGTGTATGCATCTAAGATGCTGCTGTGGCTGTGCTGGGTAGGAGGGGGAAAAAAAACAACAGCATTTGTGGGGTACAAAGAAGTCAAGGAAGCCTAGAGCAAAAAACAGTAGCAGAGACTTTGGCTCAGACAATGGAAAATGAGGAGCAAATCAGTGCTGACATCCCACAAAAAGTGAAGACCTTCAAAGTTGTGAAACTTAATGAAAGGGACATTAGCAAATAGTCATTTACATTGACACAGGGGTGTGGCCAACAAGAATTGTGTCTGCCTTGGCAAGCTAGGCCTCTGAATGACTGGAAAGTCCCAAACCAGACTTGTGCTGTGTTTGGGTTCGCAACTTCTATTGACACCACCTCGGCAGTCTCTGAACACTTCTGTCAACGCTTCATCATCAAGAAAACTCCTGAACTACATAAGAGGTGCAAACACAAACTCCTCTCAAACACCCTTCACACAGGACACTTGGGGTTTTCACAACGAAAGGCCTGCTGAAAATCAGTTCAGATTCCAAAGTTCAGAACCTAATAGAAAATAATTCACAACGAATAAAAGTGAACCAAGATAACATAAAATCCCCCCAAACTGACAAATAATAGGAGACAAAATGTATACTTTAGGGCTGGGGCTTGGGGCTCAGTGGTAGAGTGCTTGCCTAGCATGTGTGAGGCACTGGGTTCAATCCCCAGCACCACATATAAATAAACTAAAGTATTGTGTCCATCTACAACTAAAAAAAAATTTTAAATGTGTACTTTAATGTTTAATGTCTTAAAAAGAGTAAAAAACACAAGAATCAGAGTCTAGTGTGGTAAAAAGTTTGGATAGAAAGATAGATGATAGATAGATAGATAGATGATAGATAGATTTTGAAAATACTCATTAAACTAAAAATTTAATGGATGAATTAACACATTTTATAACCTGATTAACCTAATGAAGTTAAAGTTATACATTACAAGTTACATTTAAAGAAATTACCCAAAATGCTTCCAAATGTCCAATAGGATTTCAAAATAAATAGAATGAGGGCAGGGTGAGCATTTGAAGAGATAATAGCTAAGAAATTTAAAAATTGTCAAATCCTCAGATTCATAGAACAGTGCATCTAAAGTCATATAATTGTAAATTTATCCATATTTACATGTATCATAATGACTTTAAGAAAAAATATTAATAAGAAAAATTACAAAAGCAGCCTAAGATAAAAGGCAAATTACTAAGAAATTATAAACGAACTGCAAACAAATCAACAGGAACCACTGTTGTCAGTAGACAGTGGAATTAGTACACAACTAAGATTTTCACACCAGCCAAACTATTATCATTAAAAAAAAAAAAGAATGATATTTCAGCTAAAAACCGAAAGAGTTTACACATAATCTGATTGGAAACAACTAAGAAATATATTCCTTAAAAAAAAAAGAAAAGAAGGAA